TAATTAATCGTAAAAACGTGACGCGCGCCAAAGTATGTGCTTTATAATTGTTTCGGCTGCGAATAATTCGCGAGCTCGCGCAGTCCCTCGCGGGAAAGAGAGACAAAGAGAGACACAGGAGTAATTTATATATCACTCGCGTAATATTCGCGCTGACATTTCCGGTATTCGGTGTCGTAATGACCTCGGCCGGGAACAGTATCGACAAACACGCACCCGCGATTACATATCGCGAGGTAGACAGATAGACAGTCCGATGAAGGATCAAGGGGGAGGGAAGAGAGAGAAAGAGGAGAGAGAGAGAGAGAGAGAGAGAGAGAGAGAGAGAGAGAGAAAGAGACAGATATAAACGTTTCCCGTGTGTATTCGGCCACCCTTTAAGCGCTGATCGCGCGTCGTGTAACGGCACAAAGAGTAATTCGATTTAACCGCTTGAGCTTCGAGTGTGCGAACGAGCGAGCGAGCGAGCGAGCGTCGAATCGACGATTGTCAATTGACAATGAGCCATTGTCAAGTCAACGCACGGCCCGGCGAGATTAAATCTGACTCGAGGCCGTTGCAGCTGGCACTTTAGCGATCTCGATGCCGATCGAGACCACCGGGCGAATTCCATTGACCCTTTTCCGCGACCTGCCAGCCAGATCTCCCTCCCCTCTGCCTTACCGCTTGCCAAACATCAAGTTATGTATCACTGTCGGTCTCTGTCACTCCGTCGACAATCATCCCCGACTATTATGTCGACACGTGGGCGCGCAGAAGAGAGCGAGAGAGAGAGAGGGGGAGGAACGGCTATTCGGCGGGGGCCGTTAAAATTTAGAGACGGCTCCCGGTACATGGGAGGCGGCCTCGTCGAAAATTCAATTAAACATTATTCCGCTACAATGCATCGCGCGCGCGCACGAGCGCAGGAGCGAGCGAGCGCGCTGCACACGCGAGATAATATAATATTTAAAATTCTCTACAACGATTCGCGAATTGCGCACATTGCAATTGCCGAAAGGCAAAAAATTAATTACGGATGACACGTGCGGTCACTTGCGGCGCGGCTCGTTAAAATTTAAACAAAGCGCAGCCCATGCGCGCGCGCGCATGGACGGGCCGGCGGTAACACAACGCACACAGCGGGGATTCAATTAAATATTATCATGCTACGGTGAACCGGTCGTTTATCATATTTGCGAGATAATACAACGTTTCGCGAATTCCACGCATCCGACGATTGCCGGAAGGCAGAAAGTTGATTACGGCTGTTGGCCCGTTTGTAAATACAAAAGTACGTCGTTACAGGAGGGGAAAAAAAAAAACTGTAAACGCAAAAACGCGCGCGCAATATATTCGGAGCGATAACAGCAGAGAACAACTGCGGCCACAAAGATCGCGGTTTTACATTCGGAGATTTAAATGGCATTTCGAGTAATTACTATTTCTACAAATTGCCTTTTCGATTTCCAATGTGGGATTAAAAATTTGAAAAAGTGCAATATGCACGAAATTAGTGGGTGCAACAGCGCGTGGCTCGGGACGGCGGGCGGGGGTGAAGAGGGGTGAAGGGGACGGTGGTTTCGCGCGGAAAATAAGTAATGACATTTATGACCGTTCACTGTCCGCGGAATAATAAAAAAAAGCAGTCGAGTGTACATGATATTTCGTCGAAAATGACATATTTCCAAGCGCGGGATATTTTCCTAAACCATCGTGTGATTTTTCCACGGAGTGTTCGGGAAATTAATTGAAGTCGAAGATACCAAGACCAGAACGTCACGATCGCGATAGTCCGTGAGTTATGGGACGGAAGTATCGCACTTTTATGTATGAGCGTGCTAAATTGTTCGGAAACGTACGCGGATATATTCAAGCAGTATTATATAGTTTATATAGTAATAAATAGAATAGCATTTATATACAGTATAATATATGTGGCGTAATATAGCGTCAATAAAAGGCATACATAGCCATAGCATAACATATAAATATAATATAGCATAGTACGAATATAGTATAGCATATAAATGGCATAGAAAAAATGGCACAACCTTCGGTTGGCAGCAGTCGGGAGTAAAAATAGTCTAACTACCCAAAGTTTTCGTCTCAAGCCAACGCGACTACGCATGCACTACGTGATATAAAGCTCTGCGAGCGTTGGATTTCACGCTCACCAATCGGCGTGGAGAGGTCCATCGAAGTCCAGCCAAGATCCATCGAGGTCCAGTCGAATCCAGCGACGTCCAGCCAGACGCCACAGTGTCTAGCGTCGTCCCACATTCGATGAACGGTCAACGTTCATGCTTTAAGGACGTTTGCCGAGTTCGAATCGACGAAACTCTCGACATCGACTAGCCAAAGACAAACGCGGCGAGTTCGTTCGACAAATGTTTATCGTGGCACCAAAAAGTGCGCTTCTAGAACGTATTCGCGACTCGCGTGAAATATCACATGCGATATGAGAAAGCAGAGAACGCGACGATCGCGCGAAATGAATGCGCGTTCGAACTGACTCGCGAGCAAATCGATCGCGCGAAATAATGTCGCGCGAAATAATGTCGCGCGGAAAAGCTCCGGCAGAAATTCAGATTCCGCACACACGCGCGGCAAATATCCGTCAAACTCCACACACCAGTGGGGAGTGACGAGATGTAACACTGCGGAGGCAACCCTCCGTCCGCGACGCTTCGCAATTATTTATCATCCAATTATTTCCGTCGTTACGGCCCCAAAATCAACGCGCTCAAATTGCCTCACGAGCCAACCGATCGCGAGACTCGCGGGACAATCGCGGGTAGAACCTCGAGTAGAATCTCGATTCTACATTGATGCCACAAATTCCCGTCGTACTCGACACATTAGTGGAGAATGACGAGATGTGACACTGCGCGTCAGCTCCTCTCCTTTTGCGGTGCTTCGAAATTATTCACTATTCGATTATCTCAATCGCGACGGTCGTGAGATCAACCCGCTCGAATCGCTTCGCGCGCGCAAGCCGATCGCAACACGCAAAACAAATAATTGCGAGTCAATACTCGAGTCGAAACTTGGGTTCTACATTGACGCCGCAAATTGCCGTATGAAACTTAAAAAATAAATAACCAATAACGAAATACGAACATTATATAAGCTACTATGTTCCGTTGATGCTTCGCGGCACTTTGCCATCGAGGCATTCTACTCTCATGATATTGAAATTTATGTGACGATCCGTTCATTTGTTCTTTATGAGATGTAATCGCGACGTGATTGGAATGCATGTGGTTGAGAGGCTCAAGAAATTAATGAACGCGACGATCAAGTGTTTGTTAACGCGAGCGAAGAAGTTGCGAGTTACTCTCGCTGTGACGCAATTCTGTGATGCACATTTCACGCCACTTTCAAGACAATTGGAAGATCACACCGAGCGAATAATTCCGCCGACACGTCGATTGCCGCGCTTATTTCGATTCATTCTATAAGAGCTCGATTAATCACATAATACTAAAGATATTACGGTAAGAAAATAACACGAGATTGCAAAATAAATATGGTGATATCGTATATGATGTAACGATGACCAATGATCGCCACGGCATTCAACGTGTTGAATAATTTTAGACTTCAAATAAGATGTGAGATGCTGACATAAATTATATTAATTTTTATATAGATATATGTTCACTGAAGACTAGATATCAACATCAAAATTAGATATTCGACAATTCAAATGTCCTTACGAGTATTTGACGAAGTGATCTTCTAACTGTCTTGAGCGACGCGTATTGTTTAACGGCACAAAAACATATACATGCAAGAATCTACAGTCTATGTAAATCGCATTGGCTTGAGAACGATACCACAACCTTAAATTTTTTTCATATAGTATATTTTTCAATTAATTTCTGACTCACCAACCAGCAGGAAGTCAAGGTCAGCCACGTTCCGCTGCGAGATCTGGAGCACAAAATTAAATGATTTGGTTAGTTAAATTCTGGAATTTCGTTTAGCGAGCAAGAGAACACGCGGATATATTAGCTATTTGCTGTTGTATGCGCGAATATGTGAAGAACATTAATTCGAATAAATGCGTAATATACACTGAAAAAATATTTGAAAATTCTTTTGTAAAATAAAAGTCGACTTCAGAGAAATAAATTTTATCTCACACGGAGAAAGTATTGTAGTGAAAATTACTACAAAGGTTTGCAATGTTAGATTATGCAGGAATTATAATCGAAATTACGTGTGTTGCAATCTTTATCTCTTTATCTTAATACGTGATATGCATTACTAAAAATTACAACACATATTATTGTAAATTACATATTATTGTAATTTCAGTTATAATTCTGGTATATTCTAGGATTTTTCAAAAAGAGTTATTCGTCACGAAGTACTTTTGGTTTTGCGTAAAATATTAAATGCAACGCGTACAGAAAGAGAGAGAGAGAGAGAGAGAGAGAGAGAGAGAGAGAGAGAGAGAGAGGAGCGTTAACTTTAGAATATCGCGTTATTTTGCGTTTAAATAACGTCTAATAAATCTGATGAATTCTCTTTATATCCGTATTGAACTGTGTTAAATTGTTAAACACGAGAGACAGTGTCGCGCGAGATCATACCGTGATTGTTGGATTTCGCTAATCAGTACAGCTGCAAATGTACGAGAGTGCGACGGGCCGCTCAATTAAAACGCGTTAAACAATTGAACGATATTCAGTGTATCATGTCATAGGAATATTTCAATATAACGCACGTGAAATAATCAGAGCCGTTATAACGGCGCGAGCTCGAGTGTGTTGTCTTTCGGAAGATCACGTGACCTTCGGAGCAATAAAGCTCTGCGATACAGCATTAAAAAATTCTGCGGAGATATTTGCTCCAGTATTTTCTGCATGCAAAAATAAACTTAAATGTTGCCAAAATTTTTACGTATTTTTTTTTCAGTGTATTAACTGTCACATTCGCAACAGCAAATGGCTAAGAGAATTATGGAAACTTGGTAAACTCACCTTCGAGCCAACCCTGCTTGGCCCAAACCGGAACCTCCGGTGCAGCAACCGCATCCACTGGAGCTGCGTCTTCCTTCGCGGTGTGGCCGCAAGCTCTGCCGAATCTGAAATAAAAAGACAGTTTCCTGATTAATTGAAGGTAAAGAGCACGCTCGTGGTCAGCCAAGTGAGAATAAAGAAATATTCCGTATATATAATATACGGACAAATAAAAAATATAAACATCGACAACTAAGGTAAATGTCTCAATAACTAAACTAGTAAGAAAGCACGATTAGTTTTGTATTTTCATTAATAAGTAATTAGTGAAATTGCAAGGAAAACTAACGTTTATATAAAACTTTCGTCAGCGATAAAGAAATAATAAAAGACAAAATATATAATCGATAAACATCAATTATAATTTTAATGAAATATATTAAATAACGCCAATTGTAGTTAAACTGAGAAATAAATCATGTCCTAATTATTGAGCAAAACACAGAGTTAGTAATTTAATGGTCATTAAATAATATTACAAATTGGCATAAAGAAGTGTCTTTGAAAAATTTCCAAGTCTTTTTTAGAGCTATTAAATACAAGTATATTTTCAATGTTTCGATCGTTGACAAGGTTCAATTGTTGAGACATTTACCTTATGTCTCCTCTTTAAATTTAACAAAAATGAAAAACGACAGTCACCCTCTCGATTTCAGGACGCTGCCGTTACTCACGAGGACCTCAGCACAACGATCGCACGCGCAAAATATCGCCGTTCGACTCGCACACGCTTTGACGAATTTAGAAAATTCAAGACTACCGCGTGACGTCATCCGTCCCGCTCGCCGGCGGGCCGGAGACTGTGTGAAGCCGAGCGCGCGTCGTGATTACGCGCGTTGTTGTTCGAAGGTCGCGCGACCTTCCGAAAGATAACACGCTCGAGGCTGCAGGAGCGCCGTTATAATGGTCCTGATTATTTCACGTGCGCTAGATTGAAATATTCCTATCCGTAATACACTGAATATTGTTCAATTGTTTAACACGAGCTTTTAGCGCCTCGACGCACTCTCGTATATCTTACAACTGTACTGATTAGCGAGATTCGACGATCACGGTACGCTCTCGCGAGATACTTTTGCGTCTAATAATTTAATGCAGTTCAATACGGATATAAAGAGAATTTGTAAGAGTTATTAGACGTTACTTAAACGCAAAATAACGCAAGATTCTAAAGTGAACGTCGCTCTCTCTCTCTCTCTGTACTGCGCGTTGCGTTTAATATTTTACGCGGAGTCGGAAGTAATTCGTGACGAATATCTCTTTGTGAAAAATCCCAGAATATGTAATCTCAAATTAAAGAAAAAATTTCATTTCATTTCATTTTTAGATATTCTCCCGACGTATATCAGGAATATTCCTGCTTGAGCTTCAACAATGAAACTAACTCTCTCAAATTTATAAAGTCTCGGCTATGAAAGCTTAAATAATCAATGAACTCACCATCAAAGCAATTTTACTCAGGTCGAATCAGATGCTCCGCAAGCTCTGCACTTCTGTTCTAACTGCATCCGTTGCGAGAACCGTCAAGTCTGAAGCCAAAACACAATCATTCCCGTCAGTTAAGGGTCCAGAGGTGTTATTCAGTTCGGAAAAATTATGAAAACGCGAAGAGGTCGCGAGAAACCGCGTTTCTTGCGCGAATTTGACGCGAACAAAACGACAATTACCCCTTTCGATTTCACGACGCGCTCTCGGCGATCGAGCTGGACGATCGCGTTCTCTTTGTATTAATTTTATTTCATCGAATAAAATCGAAAGTAACGCACGATGTCGCCTGACGTGCTCGCTCGCTCGCGTCAAGCTTTGTTATGACATGCTCGATTGCTCGGCGGTCACACGACTTTTCGCGCAGTAACAATGCGAGCGTGGGCTCGCAACGTGCATTCGAGTGATGCATATATCGAAAATACAATGCCACGGCAACATATTCCCCGACTTAATTGGAGCCGCGAATTCCGACGCGCATATGTCAAGGTTGACTTTTCATTTCGCAACTTCGCGGACGCCAACTTTGCACCTCAAGCGCGGGCGCGTCAAACCACGTCTTTCGCATCTCGCTGACGTTCTTTTAAATAGACTCGCGGAAGACTGAAGCTTCTTCAACGTCCGCCTGTCAGCTTCTTTCTCGTACGATAGGCGATGAGAGCAGGCCCGAATTAACGAGAACCAAGAAGCGCGTATGAGATCTGTCAAAATAAATTGTCGGCGCTTGTATCAGCCGCGACGTTGTACAAACAATCTCGCGATTACGGCCTCGAGAGAAAGAGAGAGAAAGAGAGAGAGAAACGGGAGAGCGTTTTTTTAGATCACGACAAGTTCCAGCTGGAGGAAGAGGCAAAGAACACGTCGGCGACGTCGTCGCGCTCGTCATCGACGTGAGGACGTTCCTCTGAGGATTTCGAGGAGAGAGAGCGAGAAGAAAGAGAGAGTCGGGAAAAGGCAGGAAAAGTGAAGAGAAAGAGAGGGAGAGAGGAAGGGAGGTTGGCAGGGCTCCGTTTATGCCGCAGCACACATGTATTTGACAACGAGCTGCATAAACCAAGGCTGGAAAGTAAATTAAAACTTTCAGCGAGTCTTTCGCGAAACTTTCCACGGCTTTCGCAGTATAACGCGCCGTCTGTGCCGCGTCTATGTATTTTTGAGGAACACTTAAATTTAATCTCGTTTCCCCGTGAAATGCGTCATAAAGCACGGGCGCGAACACTTTAAAAACGGCGTCAACGGAGCGCGTCCACCGCCGCCGTCAACGCCTTCCCCTCGAGAAACTTCGCCGCGTTGAACGTTCGACGATTTGCAACATTCGCTTCGCGACTAATTAATCCCTTGTATTGGGAATTAATCCCTCATTGATATATTGTGCGACCATTAAGTTTATTTATTCTTCTACTTCGTCACTTACGGGAAATCCCCTTGGCGCATCAAGCATAATAAATAACTGATTGAAAAATTAAAATAATGCATCAAAATAAGAAGAAAAAAAGAAATCCAAAAAGAAATAGAAAAATAATAATAAATAAACAATTTAAAAAATAATAATGAAGACAAAGGGTTAATAATTGAAAACATAATTAAGACCCGGAGACAAGCAGAAGCGAAATAATAATACAGAAAATTTAAAAGCATTAAGTTAATGTTCAGACAAAACTAGAGAGAGAACAAATGTGGCACATGTCTGAAATGTGAGTGATGATTTTGGCTCCTCAATTGTAGAACGTCTGCACTGAGAAAAAATATCTAAGAAATAAAAAAAATATTTATTCGATGGCTTTTTTATAAGAACATATTCACTAAGACCTAAATTCCTTTATTTAAACAGAATATATAATTATTTTCATGAAATATATATCTTCTGATATATCTGAACAGAATACATAATTATTTTCATGAAATATATATCTTCTGATTTGCGGAGAATATTTTGTATGAACATAAGTAAATATGTGTTATCAGTACCCACCGAATAAATATGTTTTATCTCTTAGATATTTTTTTCTTTCGGTATAGGAGACGTGATTCCAATACAAAGGGTTAATCGTCGATTGATTACGCGCGACAAGTCGACAACATGAGCGCAGGCGTGTCGCCATGGGATTACCCTGATGGGACATACGACGGGACGCTGCAATTTGACAAAGGCATAAGAAACATCGTGCCTGCGCGCGTACACGAAACGCCAGAACCGGATGTCTCTGTGGAACAGTAACGGAACGGAGGCTGAATTTCCGTCACGCGACTCGCCCTCGGCAGGAACAGACCGACAGACACACAGGCAGGCAGACAGACAGACAGACAGACAGACAGACAGCTGCGCGGCGAGGCGCGGCGTATTCGCCGTGGATGGAAAATGGTCCGATGGCCGAGAAACACGGTCCTCAGGACCTTGTCGTCCGCTGGATCGCGAAAAGCGCGCATCCTCGATGCGCCCTCTCACTCTCTCTCCCTCTCCCTCGGGGAGAATTTAATATGCGGTATCGGGGCGCGAGGCCGGTGAAAGAGAGAGCGGAATCCGTTCCGGCGCCGCTCGAGCAGCTCTCGGCGCGCCGGGGAATTCGGGAGACGGGAGGAGAGGGGGTTGGCTGTTGCGGGCGGGGGTGGGGGAGGTTTGCCGCGGCACCCTCTCCAAGCGCCGTCGTCTTCTGCAAGGGAACGAGTCCATCCGGCCGCGAGTTCTACAGGGTGTCTGGACTTGAGTGCGCCCGACACCAGTCGTGCGCGGTGGAACTCGCTCAACTGAATGGAGAAATCATAGCCATTTTGTAAACTGCCGAGTCGAGATTTTCATCCGACGCTTTCGACTTCGATACTCCATTGACGCCTACTTCGATATTTTGAAGCCTATGTCAATCTCTTTAGACTTCATTTAACCTATCAGCTTCACCGATAGGTCTTCTTTAGAACACTTGCGTGAATTTGGCACCCGACTTTTAAGAACTTAATTTTTCTATACGAAAAATTTAAAAAATTTCGAAACGCGCAACTTAAAAAAATGATGAGGCGTATCAAATCTGTTTGCGCAGTATTCTTTAGTCGAATTGATATAACTTCCAAATTGTTTGACTACAAACGAAATAGAGAGCACTATAAACAAATGATTCTAAATAAGATTGCACAAATGGATTTGTAATATTTTGAAGTTGGGTGCGAGTTATTTTAAAAAATTTTTGTAATTTTTTATGAATGGAACTACAAACAAAATTATTGTTACTACAAGCAATTATTGTTACTACAAACGAAATGCTAACGTTTTGCATGTAGAAAAATTAAGTTCCTGAAAGTCCCAGATGGCAGGTTCGCACAGGTCTTTAAAACCTACAAGCAGCATTTTCTTTCGTCAGTGTTCGAAAATTAACCTGGCGGTTTACAACGTGGCCACGATTTCTCCGTTCAGTTTAACGAGTTCCACAAGATCAATCTGAACATTTCGGTTCAGACACCCTGTATATCCGTGAAAGTGAATCCTCCCGCGGAGGATCGTTCCGCGTCGCAGCGCGTCAAAAAATTCGCAAACAAGGGGAAGAGAGAAGAAACAATAGAAATATACGAGAAAATAAATAAATACGAGGAAATGGTGAACAAATAAACGAATGAACGGATAAGGGAGAATAAACAAGTAAATAAAAACGTCCCGCGACAGATCGCTCTCTCGACGAAACCGCGGACCCGTAATGAGACGCATGAGTCAGATGACGAGTCGAATGCAAAACGAAACGGAACGCAACGCGACGTCGCAAATTCTCTACGGCGAGGGGCAGGAGGATGGCTGCGTTCCTCGCAGCGTGCGCGTCTCGCGAGCGCCGGGGGAATCCCAGCGAATCCTACTACTTTATCCGCAAGCTCGAAGATGCATTAATTCACTTTCGGATGCGCCCCCCGGAAGAAGGAAACGCCGGGAAGCATGGGGACCAAGGGGAGTATCTTTCGGATTTAATGCTCGCGGAACTATCCGTCGATACCGCGGACGGGGAGCTTATAACGCGATACTCTCAAGTTGGTAAATATCGAGTTTCCGCGGAGAGAGAGGAGAGAAAGAGAGTTTGAGAGAGGGGAGGGAGGGAGCTCGCACGAACGTCTAATCGGCGGAAAACGCTTTGACTTCGTTATTAATTAACAGCTACCATCCATTATCGTATTTCTCCGCATGTCTCGTTTTATCGTGGAGCTTCCGGCCGTGGCGCCTCGCGCGCTCCGTGACATTTCACCTGATAGACAGCAAATGCAGAAAGCAGCGAGAGCAAGAGAAAACAAATGCAGAAAGGAAGCAATGAGGAGAAAAGAAGAGAGCAGGGGAGAGGAAGACAGGCAACTCAAAGAAATCGGGAGTCTCGTTCGTCTTCCTCCGCGGAGGAATCTTAAGCCCGCGGAATCGACTTGGAGGGCGAGATCGAGTCGAAATAACCGAGACCAAGGGAAGGGGGGAGGAGTGTACGCGCACGGGGAGGCTAAAAGCCGTATTTAAATGCGCGACTCGCGAGATTTCCGCCTCCGGAGAATATTCCGCGCGGCTCTTCCCCCTCTGATTCGATCGGAGCGAGTTCGCGAGGCTCGAGCCGCGCAAAAGTATCCGTAGATTCTGTCAGTGTCTTTCTCTTTCTCTTTCTCTCCTCTCGTCGGCGGCGGCATTGAGGTAAGCACAGCCCGGCATGATACGAAGGCGGCTGCGGCATCCGCGGCGTTGCAGCAGCCGGCAGGCGGGTCATTTGCCGGCGACGGCACCCACGGGAAATCACGTGATCGAGTCTCACTCTCTGTGTGATTGCCACTTTGTGGACGATCGATTTCGCCGAACGCCCACAATGCTCCATTTAATATGAGAGCCGCCGAAGCGGTGGCGGGACGTCGCGATTCAGTATTAATACCTCGCTGGCCGATCAGCCGCCAGGGCCGACGGACGGACCGACGGAAGGACTCGTGTACGTCTACTCGTCGACGTTCTCTCCCTCTCCCCCCTCTCTCTCTCTCTCTTTCTCTCTCTCGCTTCCTCTTTAGCCGAAGTGAGCACGCGGAAAGTTCGCACGACGCCAATAAATCC